AAGGAAAACGTGAAGACAAAAGAAGAAGAAAAAAGAGAAGAGAAGAGAGAGAAAATCTTAAAAGAAAAATAAGAGGAAAAAAAAGAGATGATAAGAAGAAAAAAAAGATGAGAGAGAACAGTTAATTATGGTTTAATTGTTGAAACGTAACTTCCCATTGTTATCTATACTTATATTAAAAGGAAACCTATTTACTAAATATAGTAGATAGAAAAGTCAAATATAATTAATGAACTTCTTATTTTATCAAGTAGTAATTAATGCATTTATAATCTATACTTATATAAACATATCTAAATAAGGAAGGAATAAAAGTTTAAATAAAGTAGTTGCTTTCTTTAACAAACTTATAGGGAAACAGGAAAAAGAAAAATCTTTAATTCAAATTAAATTGTAAACAATTTCTTAATAATTTTCATACAAATCTGTAATTCAAATTTAAATTGAAATGTTAACAATTTCCTAACAACTTTCATAGAATTTTGCCCGCATAAATAATGACAAACACGAAATTTAGCAGTATTCAAAAGTTAAAGGAGGCCTTATTCAAATTGTGGAGACTTTAAAATTGGTACGAGTTTGCATCATTCATTTTAGTAAGAAAATAAAAACTTAAATATATTTTATATAAAAAAAAACTTCATTTAATTAATTTGATATTGAAAACTTGATGTCGTAATATGGCACAGAAATTTAAAAATTGGTACGAGTTTGCCTCATTCTTTTTATTTATTTAATTTGATATTAAAAAATTGATAAACTGCTTCATTTCATAACAGAATAAAACATTTATATTCTTGATATTTATAATTTTATTTACAACTTAATAAATGTATCCTTCACATATCTCCGAGATGTGTCGAATTCTAAAAGATTAGAAAAAGAAAACCAAAATTATGGATTGTTTAAATACATAATACATGCGTGAATCAATAAATCATTTTATACATCTATACTTATATAATAAGGTATTATATTTACCAAATTTAGTCGGTTGAAAAGTCAACGTAATTAATGTATTGCTAATTCTATTCAGATTTGTATTTAGTTATTTTAGTTATTTGTCTTATATTCCATAAAATCGCTTTAAGAAAAAAAATTTCATAACACCCGATAAGTCAAAAAAAAGTACGCAACATCTTTACTAAAATACAAAAAATTAGTAGGTTGAAAAGTCAACATAATTAGCATTGCTATTTCTAGGGCTGCACATTCGGTTAAAATCGAACCGAACCGACCGAATTTTCGGTTAACCAAAAATTTGGTTTGCCCATTATCATAACCGAAAACCGAACCAAAATTTACGGTTCGGTTCGGTTTTTAACCGAAAATCCAACGGTCGGTTCGGTTCGATTTTTGGTTATTCGCAATAAATAATTAATATTACTGTTAAATTTTGAATTTTTAACCGAATAAAAAATTTGATGTTTTATCCCTACAAAAAATAATAATAATTTTTTATTACCTTATTTAATATTCTTAATAAATTCTAAATTATGCTCAAAGGAAGATTTCGGACCCGAACCGTAACTTGGACTATGATGAAGCCAATTTTGAGTGCAAATTAATGCTTGAGCAATTTTGTGCGTCAATGAAGCTTAAAAATCATCAATTATTGAAGCAAATTAATGCTTTTATAACTTATATGTATAAATAAAAAACATGTATATATATTAAATAAATCGGTTTTCGGTTCGGTTTGGTTCGGTTAACCGGTCACAATTATCCAAACCGAACCGAAACCAAAATTTTAGAAAAATGTGAACCGAAAGCCGAACCAAATAATCGTTTCGGTCCAAACCGAATTTTTGGTTTCGGTCGGTTCGGCTCTGTTAACCGAACTTTGTGCACCTCTAGCTATTTCTATCCAGAATTGTATTTAATTATTTTATTTATTTGTCTTATATCCCATAAAATCGTTTTAAGAAAAAAATTTCCCATAACATCCGATAAGTAAAATAAAAGTACGTAAAATCTTTACTAAAATAAAAAAGACTTTATTTATTTGTCTTATTCCATCGATTTAGTCAAAACAAATCCCATAATCGGTGAAGTCAAAAATTATACGTAAAGTCTATCTATACTAAAAAAAGGCAGATTCAATTTTTTTTTATCTAATTCTTTATCTAATTTCTGTTTAAAGCATTTTATTTAATATTTATTTTAATGAAATATTATATATGATTGTTGTATCTGAGTCAATTTTGAAATCGCGTTGTTTGGCATGAGAGGATTATCCGCATTCTATATCTATCTAAAGCATATTATTTAATATTATTTAATTAATTTATTTAATATTTAATTATTTTATCAATGACATCAGTTTTGTCAAAAAATTTGATCAAACAAACAAATAAAAAAGGCACGAGATTAATTACATTCGACTTGCAAAAAATTTATGGGTGGACGTAAATATTTAACAATGATGTTTCAAGTTCCTTAAATAATACTATAACTATGCTGTTTAAATATAATCTGTTTTATGGGTGACGTAAATATGTTGTTTAAAGTTCCCTAAAATAATTTTTTAAAAACTATGTTGTTTAAAATTCCTTAAATATAAATATATTTAAAGTATACATATGTTGTAATATATTAAAGTCAAAACAATGTTGGAAGGCTTTTGAATTATCTAATTTTAAATTATCTAAGTTAATTTATTTAAATGTTTAATCCCATTAAATTTTCAATCCATGAAGTATTTTTACTAATCCCGTAAGCAGTTTTGTTATTGTAATCAATTTATACACTATTTTACTAATAAATTATTTAATATCTATGTACAAGGAGGTCTTTAATAATATATGATTGTTTTTTTTGTCGTATACTATTTTATTGTATAATTTTCCTGCGTATTATAAAATTTTTATTGAATATTGCATCTTATAATATAATATTCCCAAATAAATATATCCCGTGTCTCGCGCAGGTGCCGTACTATATATATCTCATACATTTTTCTATTCATTTATATAATTATAAGGCTGGATAAATAACCTTAAAATTGTGCACCCGTGCATCGCACGGGCTCTGTACTAGTTGTGGATATATTTTGGAATGCATTCAAGTAATTTTGAAATTCTTCTCCTTTAGGTTTATTTATAGAAATGATTTTTTATAGATGGTTATTTATGTCTTTTACTCAAATCGAACCGGTTTCGGGTCTTAGTTTTTTTTTTCTAAACTGATCTGAATTGTTTTCTCATTTTATTTTATTAAAAAAATTGACAGTTCAAATTCTAGGTCCATGTTTTGAGGCCCGACGACCTGCCGGGTCCGATGGCTCGCGTGATTGCCACCTTTATGTGCGGAGAGCTTTGGTGGATTTCTCCATAATATTCGTATGGATATGTACGTCTGATCTGGTGGCTCGAACCTTAGTATGTGCTTGGTGGATTTTTCCTAGCAAATATCGAGTTTACATTGTACACTCATTTGTATGAGTGTGTACATACTTTTCCTAGCAAAACATGCTTAAAATACACTGCTGGTTCGAAACTAATACCAAAATTAAGTGGTCAGTTTTACATATGAGAGTCTGGGGTCTGAACAATTATACGATACAATAATGTTGAGATAGTAATATACATGACTAATAATATAATGTAAAAATATTCCTTAATTTCAAGTGAACTATTTGTGAGTTTCATATTATGTACGAATTTTACATGAAACTCCATGTTTCATGTAATTCCTAACAAAAAATTCAGACAGCTCCGTAATATAGTGTTTACAACGCTGATACAAAATACTCCCATAAAATAATAAGTAAACATTTGCATATAGATCATGGCAAGAAAACTAGACGACCAAAAGCTTCCTACTTTCCTTAATTTTCTCCAACAATCTCGACTCGAGCAACATGCGAGTGCACTCTCGTTCGGCTTCTCGTACTTCATTTTCGAGGGATGTTATCTACACGGGACAGCACCGAATATTACTTTTTTCAAACAAGAACGTGTAAAACGCCGAAAAATTCTTGTTCTAAGTTAAACTAAAGCAATGTTTTTAACTTTTTATATTTGGTCCAAGCACGGTCAACGAATTGTGCATCTATTGCTTGGATGTTTTGTTGGTAGTTCATTGTGATGATAAAAGAAAAACTAAAACTACTGCAGTATATTACAAATTCGTTGAAAGAAGTAAGAAAGTCACAAAATGTTCGACACGCAGAAAAAAGATCTCACGTACCTTGAAATCGAGTTCTTTGTCTGTGCTCTCATACTCCTGGCACCTGAAGTACAAAAATCAAAAATAGATGCAAATATGAGGGCATGTGACAGTAAATAATATCCAGAGAAAGGAAAGTCGAACTTTTTTAGGGATATTTACAAAACTATCCATGAAGCTTTAGTCTGATAACAAGAAACTCACATACTTTTTAAAATTTAAATTATTCATCTGAGGTTGGAGATTACCTTAAAGGGAGCAGTTAAGCACGAACAAATGTCAGAGAATATTGTAACTTTTGTAAATATAATATATATATATATATATATATATATATATATATATATAAACTCTATTTTTTCTCTCTTTTTCTAGCTTTGTTAAAGAAAGCTGAACTCAGGCGTAGTTGATGTAATTAAGTTAGTTTTATCATTCTAATTCAGTATGGTGTGAGAAAATATATGCCTTAATCCCATAATGCTATTGTAATTTTTGTAGGTTATTATGATTTGAAGGGACATTCTTCAACATAATGGTTGAAACTTTGACAGATCCACAACAATTATAACACTTACAGAGAGCGGAGCCTTTTGTTTTCTCGAATCATACTAGCACCTTCTTGGTTTTCTGACTGCTTTTCAGGATCAACAGGAAGCTACATGAATGAAACAATTTTCAGCAATACATTCACTGCATCACAGGATAGTGTTAATTTTTTTTTTTTCAAAAAAAAAATGAGAAAAGAAAAACAATAAACAATTTTAACAATATTATGAATGAAGCTGAAAAAAGTTAAGAGGAAAAAAAAAAAGAAAATCATCAGTTTGCAAAAAATGCAAACCTTTCACGGTATCAGCTAAATAAGATCAAATAACCGTTCCCATGAGAAATGGAAACATGACTCGAACAAACTCATAGTTCTAAAAGGGAGTGGTGGGAAGGTTTCATTAATGGGATTTTGCCGTTCAGAAATTACAAGAGCAAGGAGAAATCTAATAGCCTAATAGATAAAAAAGCAGTGTTCAGGACATACAGAAATTAGAGTCAATTATCCTCTTAATTTCTATATATTTCTCCTCTTTCATTTACGGCGGATAAAACTTGTTCATCAGTTCGTTGAACTAAACTAAAACATTTATCAGTTTAGCTAATTGTTGCCAAATACATGAGAGTAGACTTATTCAACAATGAGAGAATATTCGAGTAAGAACAAAAATAGATGATAAAAGAAGAACCTGTTTATCTCCACCAGAATATTCGAGTCCTCTCCTCTCAACACTTACAAGATCTGCAGCATCGTCATGTCCTCTGTGTTTCCTTTTGAAAGTCTCTACTGTTAAATTTAGGAGCATTATGGGTCATGCATAATCCTTACCAAGACACTTCAGTACAGAAATTAAATACAATATAATTACAAAAATGTTTACAAACAAAACTCAAAGATGTTTCAATTAAAATATAACCCCCCAGTAATGACTCTCTTAATTTAAGGGTCTGACTGTAATCTACTAGTGTCTTTATAAACATATGGAGCATACAAGAAAGAATCATATCTCAAGGGTTATTTTAACAATTTATCCTGGATTCTTTAAGTAGTTAACCTCATCTCGGGGGTAATATTTGTTTGAGAAAAGAAGCATACTCTTTAAATGTTTTCTGCTTCTTACCCTGTGTATTATCTTGAGCAATGGGCGAAGAATGCCTTTCGGAGTTCGGTGCCATGTGATGGGACGAGCCACTTACTACTTCATGTGGACTATTTTTAGCTGCAACAAAAGATGCTTTTCGACCAGAAGCACCTGAGTCTTGACCCAGAACAACAGGTTGATAAATGCCTTGGCCTGGTCCAGAATTGGAAGTATCCTGAGGCAGCTTTAATCCTCGAGATTTGTGAGCTTGATAATAGCCAACAAGCCCACAGTGATAATCCCTGCCATACTTCAAGCAATGCCAATTAGAATAAATGTCATCACATAATATATTATTTAAATTAAATGAGACAAGAAGGCTATAGTCCATCACTAATATATGTCGAATTAAGGCTCTGCTTAAACAATATTCAATACATTGTATTGAAAGTTAATTGCCAACCAGTATTCTAGTGTCATTGCTTTCAGGCGGGCTTCGAGCTTCTGGTAAACTGGAGTTTTCTCAAAGTCCTGTTTGTTGTGGGTAGGCTCGATAAAATTTGCTTCTAAAACACCTGTTGTTGCATGGATGGATCAAAAAGTTGATGCAATCAGGACAAAGATTTTAGAACAAAGAAAAAAATAAATAAAAGAAATTAGACAGCAAGTACAGTCTTCATACCAACAACCCCTTTGCCTCTGCTGTGACTATAGCTTACAACATGCCAAAACGGCTGCACAGAAGGAATTGACGAGAATAAGATGGACGTAATGCAGTTCAATTTAGAAGGCTTTCGTATTATTATCTAAAAAAATATTATTCTCCACCTAAAAATTTGGTTTCCACATGGGAAGAAATGAGCGCCTCATTTGAGAACATGGATGGGAAAAAGAGAAGTACGGTGCCAAAAATAACGAAAGAGTGATAAATGAAGTAAAAGCAGTCACCAATATCAATCTGTTCTTGTGGTAGACATTAAAACCGTGTACATTCACTGCTGGAGCTTCCTTCAAGAACCCAATTGTCGTGATGACTGAACCCTGCAATCAGGAAAATGAGGATTGCAAATGCCCCAAAATTGGTTCACAGTACAGATTTTCATACACCAGAGAAAGCCAGGTATTGAACCCAAGTTACACGCAAATGTATGGATTCATGTTTGGAACTTTTATATAGCCGACAGAAGGCACGAAATGGTGAAGGAAAAGTATCTCCACCTAGTCCAGATCAGTATGAGAGTGATGAAGAAGGATATATAGAAATTAAAAGAGGAAAAAAATACACATCCATTTAGAAATCAGTTTTAAAGCACACTCTGTCTCAAGTCAACAGAATTCTATGTGAGTGTGTAGATTGATGTATTACTTATCCGCTTACAAGTTACAATTACAAGTATTATTATAAATATTGGGTTAATTTGGGAAAAAAGTGGTGAGTTAGACCAATTACAAGCAGCTCCAGCTATGTTTCGAACTTATAAATATCCCATTTTCATTTGTCTCCAATTTACAAATTTTATAGAGGAATAATCGTTAAAATGTGAACTTAGGGGGCTATCTATAACTTGAATAAGAAATGAAAGTTTTATAACTACATCACACCTCAAGGATAGCTTTGTAGGTATTCCCAAAATATTATTATCCATCCAATGTAACAAGAAACATGGAAGTTTTTCTTAAAAAAAATCCATACCTCCACATTGTGAGGTCTGTACAATATGAACTCCGGAAATTTGAGATCACCTGCAATATTATGATACTCGACATCTCGCCCACGCAATAATATGCGGAAGTTCTCCGGAATTCGCAAGTATAGAATAGATAAATATGCCTATTCATACAAAAGAACAATTATAAGTAAATGCGAAATAAAAGGTAGCGTGTAAGACTTTCACCAACTTACCCTCAGAGAACGGTGAAGACGGTTGGCAAGATGCTGTTCACTTTTTCCAGTATTCTTATATTTACCAGAAATACTAATATCCTGATATCAAAAAAATTCTATCAGGCTGAAGTCATATCCAATATTTTTCTTCTTCTTCTTCTTTTTTTTTTCTTTTTTCTTTTGTGTGGGGGTGGGTGGGTTGGCTGAATGCAGTAATCTATCAGTCACCACAAACCTCGGGATCTGAATCAAAATCAAGCTCCACTTTTCCTTCATCATCATGCCATAGATTATAGACGATAATCTTGGTTCCATTAGGGCCAATGTCATCGCACTGCAACATAGAGAAGTAACATAGATGTCAATGAAGATTAGAGGATGATACATATGCACTTTAGGAAATGTGTGAATTTCCTGAAAATATACTATTGTGTCATAGAGCAATAAGAATGGCTAATCCATTAAAGGTCTAAGCGGAAAAGTAAAACAAAAAGAAAAACTAGTCCCACGGAAGTATTACTAGTTTTAGAAGTTCAGCTTCTGTGGCAACTGGAGACCACTGCAACAAGATAGAAAGATTTTGCTTAAGCCGTTGGTCGTCGTGTAATGCCTTCCATGTGCCACTATCTGTGTCAAACAGATAGTCAACCTGCATAAACTCAGTCAGTAACTAGACCATTAAAGCATGTCAGGCGCACATTAGAACTCAACGAATAAACAAATGTTTCTAGAACATTACAAAGAATAACTGCTATCTTTCTCTCTAGAGAAAAGAATATTAAAACAAAAGGACAACAATTATTCATGGAAACAGAATTGGTAACATATAAAATCATAGACTAATAGTACTCATCTTCAAGCAGGATCCTTAAAACAACAATGTCATTTTAAGGCCAAACAGGTTAAAGATACAGTAGATAAACCTCACTATAACCTACTTAAGCATAAACGTTAAATGTCATAAAGCAAATGAAAGATCACTCGCAGAAACAATTTACAATTCTAATAAGTTAAAACCGGCATCAACATCTCTGGGCTTAATAAAGCACTTTATACACCTTACACCTGTACCACCAAACATTGATGTATAGTCACATTAATAGCCTGAGTAACACTGAGACTATGAGATTCCAATAAATTACGCTAGTGTTAGATTCCAAAAGACAATGATCACTGATACTGGTTAAAATCAGATATGGTCTGTTTACTAGTAATCTAGTTCATAGAGAAACAAGTTCCCCTGTCCTGTCAACAGAAAATTAAACCAAGAAGCAGGTGTGATATCTCTGCTTATTTGTTACAGAAAATCTTGTGTAATGTCTAAGCATTAAACAAAAATTGCTGCAAAATGAAGTTGTAATGGACAAATCTATGCCCTATACATTGATTGTGAATAGATTATCATCCATTCAATCACTGCAACCAAATTTGTAAGACTCTACAATCACCTAGATCAAGTTACAAACAAGAAAAATAAACAAAAACACGCGTGCTCACAACTCACCATAGGAACCACTATTTTATCTTGCCTTGTGCGCATTAAAAATGTATACGATAGCAGGCCAACACTCTGGGTCAATCTCCTGGAGGGAGGGAAGAGGAGAAGGGAAGAGAGAGAGAGAGAGAGAGAGAGAGAGAGAGAGAGTTAAAAAATAAAATACGAGGTATGAAGAATTTATTGTGCAGGGAGAAAGAAAGTAAATTAAAATTCTCAATAAAGAAGAACCAGAACCTGTCCCTTTTGCAGCGACTGAAGACAACAACATCAGCCCCAAGTCGCATAGAACTAGTCTTGAACCCATTTCCATCTGAAATGCAGCTATAAGTCAATTTCTACCGTGTTTGCTTGAAAAAAACATATATTACTTTCATACTCACACTTTCCAATAGCATTTTGGGACTGCTTATCGGAAAACCCAAAACTGAGGCAACGCCTCATTGTTTCAGGGTCCATTCCACCACCATCATCTGATAAGAAAATAACAATTCAAGTAATTTTGTATGTTTTACATTCACGTACAAAAGAAAAACGGAAATCATCATTGTGCAGACAGAGATGTAATTATCTTGTGAGCTTACTGAAATTAAAGTACCTTGAATTAACAAAGCTGGAGTTCCATCTTTCGGATTCGATATTTTATCAACAATTACAGACGTCGCCCCATTTCGAACCTACCAATAAATGAAACACTTCCTAATGAACATCAATATCTATTATACTTCCACATAGGAACTTACTAAAACAGGATTTAAGAAATCCCTCAGTGATGATGCATTCAGATTAACCTCAAACAGTGGCCCAAACTGAACTTACAGATACATAAGGCCATGAATGAAGTTACATATCAGAACTCAAGTGGATAAGCAATTTTTTGCATATGAGAACATTACTGCTTTAGCACGAACAGAATGCGCTAACTAAATTTGCAAAGGAACAAGATATGGATGACTTCTGCTTAATGATACACCCCAAACGATTGATTAAACTAGATATAAACAAAATAGAACAAGAACATTGAAACTCATAGAAGATTACCTCATCAACAGAGTTATCAATCATTTCTGCCATAGCTGCAAACACAGGACTCACAATAGAGGAATAAGAAAACATCAAGGCCAAGCAACAGTATCCAAGATGATGTGCAATGTGTTTGAGCTAAACAATTGAAATATCAAAAGCACGTACCACCAAAGACCCATTTATGAGAAGTAGCATTAGAATGAAGAAATTTGGGGTGAACACGAAGATGACCTGTGCCATCTACCAATTAAACAGAGAATCTTGGATTATTACAAGAAGAAAATGGAGAATGGGACAGTTACATCATTGTAGCATATAAAGCTAGTTAGAATCAACTTTAACTATTAGAGTGAACAGTACTTTGACATGTGGCCTTTGAATTATGGTTGTCATCATAATTTCCAGCTTTCCAGAACTGACGGCAAATTGGAGCTGGGCATATTGATGATATCGAGCAAGGGCGAGAATCACAAATTGGGGACTTATCTTGAGCCAATATACTTGCAACAGCACCACTATTTGGAGTCCTTAAAGTGTCTCGCCTTATACTTTTCTCAGTTTCATGCCTTGCAGTAAGAGCATTGGGCTCTTCCCGAGTGGCTAACCCAAATGTGGGGTACTTGCCATGATCCAAGGTTCTTCGAACTAGATCCTGCTCCATCATTAAAGCTTTCACACCAAGGTCCCCAATATTATGGTTGCTACTCAAGTTAGCCGAACTCATCATATGGACTGAAAATTAAAACATAGCCCGATTAGTTACCATACATACCAATAAATGTATAGTTTAATGTAGAAAAGGGAATTGACATATCAGGCTGTAGACAATGTTTGACCAAATTTAAAGTTTGTATTAGAGCTACGATCTGGATAATGAAACAGTTACAAAAAGTTTCAATTCATTGCTAGGATAAGGAAAGATACAATAAGAGGAAAGGACATTAACTTGCATCATGATATCTCAATGTTCTAATGAAAATGGAAGTTCTTATTAATTCATGTTCAGATGCATACATATGCGTATGATATGTAGAAAATAATTCTACAGAAACTGACGACAAAATAAGGTCCCATCAATCCATTGGCAATAACGAACGAGTGCACAGGAATTCTACTCGAGGATGGGGATTTCAGTCCATTTAGAGCACCTCAACGCCAAAATAGAAACTTATAAAACAGAACCTAGACATCATGGCCAGCAATGGACTACTTATTACATTCTAACCTTTTCGATTCTCATAAGACTTTCACTGACTCTCAGAATGTGATCTCTAACATCAAGCCTCAATCCAAATAGTGCCACCCATGTTCAGTCGTTGACCCATAACACCACTCAAAAGCTTACCACACTGTACTGTCCTCTACCAACACCTCACCTCTTGCATACACATGGTATTGGGTCAATCCAGACCCTTACACCCGACCCCTTACCATTTATCAAGGTCCCCAGCTGGTCCTACCCAGCCAGAGACCTGTTTCTAGCTTGCACACCAAGCTAGACCAACAACCTTAACGCACTTTAGCCATTTTTTGTATTATTAAGCTAACGTAAATGCAATGTTCGAAAAAAATGCTACAAACAAAATGAGCAAAACCAACGAAACTGAATGCAAACACACATTTCATGCCCCATACTAAACGTACATATGTAACGCCACCCAAAACCCGGTCCCAAATGAAACGGGTAGGTTAGAGCCAGTAGTACGCGGACCTATCGCCGCCCCTACTTGGCCGTAGGTCCGCTAAAACCCATCGCTAAAACAACTCTAGTAGGTGATCAGTGGTCCGACGTTAACCACCTAACGCAGTTATCTATTCCATTTATTAAGAATAAAAAAGTGAGAAGAAAGAAATAAAAATAAAAAAAAAAAAAAAACGATCGAATCCGCTACAGAAAACGATCTCCATCGGTGCGGAGAAAATATCGTCGTGTTACCTGGACGGATAATCGGTCACTCACTCCGCGTGCCTGCCGGTAGTTAATGCAATGGAGCTAAAAGCAAAGGGAAAAAACAAAATGAAACACTTCTACCCATTTTCAAACCTTATTTCTACTTTAGTGGTGGATTTACTCTACTCTAGATATACTTTAGAATAGAGTTACATGCTAAAACTAGGTAATAGTTCATAAGCTAACTTACATGTAAAAGTAGGTGGTTTATTGCATCAAATCTCCCTGTATTATATGAAATCTGCTCGTTATTCCTTTTTTTTTAAAAATTACGTAAAATCCCCTTGTATTTAATATCTGCGTGCATACTCGCCCTTTGATGTTAACATCGTTACTTTAACACTGACGGTGTTACTTTTTCGTCGAATTTACCATTATACCATTACTTTATCGCTGAATTTACCATTATGCCATTATACCCATATTTTATAACTGAATTTACCATTATGCCATTACTTTATCACTGAATTTACTATTATGTCATTACTGTCAAATAATATATATATTCTAAATTATATATAAAGAAAATAATATATATATAT